ATTTATTTAAAAAAAGAATTTAACTGCATACTGTATGCTTTAAGCTGCGTTGGTGGAGTTTTTTGCTGGGACACAGACTTTGGGTAATGGCCCTGCTTCTCTGTAACTGGAATTGCAAACCTGTGCGACCAGGCCCAGCACTTCTTACTCTCTATAGTTTTTTTTTTTTTTTTCTGTCAACTGATTGGCTATTTTGCCTCTTAACCTATGGGGTTGGCTTCATTTAATCCTGTTTACAATATTCAAGTAGAAAGCTCTTGGATTAAAGGTATGTGCTAGGGTTGAGCCATACCACAGCTAGAAGCAGGTTTTTTCAGTAAATAACTCAGTCTTGGGGTTCTCAGTGTTATAAAATATTCTGCAACTCTACGTAGTGAGTTCAAGGCTAGCCAGGACAACCAGTGAGATTCCATCTAACAAAAAAAAAATCCTGTTGAGTCCCTAGTGTACCCTTCCTGCCTCATCCAGAAAGAAAAATTAAGCCAGGAGGGTGGTGGCGCAAGCCTTTAATCCCAGCATTTGGGAGGCAGAGGCAGGCGGATCTTTGTGAGTTCGAGACCAGCCTGGTCTACAAGAGCTAGTGCCAGGACAGGCTCCAAAGCTACAGAGAAACCCTGTCTCGAAAAACCAAAAAAGAAAAATTAAAAAAAGAGAGAGGCAGAATGTACTTGTCTTGGAATCTGCATAACAGGTATATAGCATTGCTTTTACAACTTATCTATAAGAGAAATTATAGCAATACAACAGCAAAAACAAGAATGGGAGACCAGGGACTTAGCCAGTACTCTGCATTCTGCCGAGTTTCTGCAAGCAAAGAGGTACAAAGTGTATGTGCTGTGTCCACATCAGGTCCTGCAGCCATCTCTGGCCTTGTCCTTCCCATGTTCTCTGCTAAATACATCTGAAGTTCGTGCCCACTGTGTAGTGTTCTGTTTGGGCCATTTCAAAGGGAATAGCGGCTATTATGACCACATGAACGTATTTATTTTATGATAACAAAGACCTCTCTGTCCTGGATAGGGTCCTGGGAGCGCCTATCCCCATTTGTAATCAGAATGTGTAAACTTGTAAAACATTCTCAACAGGAAATTGATGGAAGAAGATTGCAGCTGCAGGACGAGGAGAGGAAACGGTACAAGCTGTACATGGTTTGTCAACCTGGGAGAACAAGCGTTTCAGCTGGTCCTCTCCCACAGTTTAGCTCTCGACTGTGCCCCCTCTTGAGCTCTGCTGTGTTGTATTGATGCTGTCCACAGTCACAGGAACAGCTTCGTCTTCTCTGTCAGTGGAAGAATTAAAGGCCAGGAAAGGACCATTACTGAAACCTTGGGGAACCCCGCAGAGCTGTTATAGAATACCTGAGAAATCAGGGACCTTTCTTGGGGTTCTTAGTTTTGTTAGTAGAATAATTTAAGGATGGACACAAACAAAAGCGTGGGGACAATTTATTAGGTTTAAAAGGCAAACTCCAGGCAAACTCCTAAGCCTGCAATGGGAGGAGGAGAACGGAGAAGGAACAAACCCCAGTTGGCCTGAGATAAGGCCTTGCGGAGGTCTGTCACACAGAGGCACGCAGCCAAGTGCCCTGTGGAGGAGAGCTTTGTAAAAGATAAGGAAGCCTAAGAATTAGTTCTGGAGTCTGAAAAACATCCTCTGGTCAGTATCTGAAAAAGACTAGAAGAAATAGGTCTAAGAAAGGCAGGCTGACTTGCAGGCATCGCGAGGCAGCACAGCTGGTGAGGACAATGTTAGGGGCTGGGAATTCAGAACAGGAAAAGCAAAGATGAACCAACCTTCCTAGGGGTCAGCTAGCCTACTCCTCACCTGGATTAACCCTTTAAGGAGGAGACAAGGGTCTCCACCTAGAGGTCGGTTCCATCCTTTACACGCGTCTGCATTGTAGTAAACATTTCTATCAGAAAGCCAGGCTAGCTAGTGTCCTAATTCTGAATGTATTTTTTTAATATTTATTTATTTATTATGTATACAATATTCTGTCTGTGTGTATGCCTGAAGGCCAGAAGAGGGCGCCAGACCTCCTTACAGATGGTTGTGAGCCACCATGTGGTTGCTGGGAATTGAACTCAGGACCTTTGGAAGAGCAGGCAATGCTCTTAACCACTGAGCCATCTCTCCAGCCCATGAATGTATTTTTTAAAATACTTTAGAGCAGAGGCTGAAAAGCTAGTGTTAGATGCATTGTTGTTCTAGGACAAGATCCTAGAAACTTAACCCAGGAGAAAAAAATTTAAAGGTATGGAAATAACTACAATAGTTTTGACTTAAAAAAAAAATGCAGTGTTTGGGGATGTAGCTTAATTGACAGAGTACGTGCCTAGCATGCACGCACAAGGCGTTTGTTTGATCCCCAGAACTACACAAACCAGCTGTGATGAGGAGAGACAGGAGTATCAGGACATCTTTGGCTACAGGGTGAGTTTGAGGCCAGCCTGGGTTACTTGGTGGCAAGAGCCCGGAATCCAAGCAACCAGGAGGCAGAAGCAGGGAGCTGACACAAGTCTGAGGCCAGCTCGGTCTAGAGTCCTGGCTCCTCCTGCCCCTTTCCACTTCCCAGCTGGATCACAGGTCGCTGTGCAGGGGAGTGGCCGCGACTTTCCTGGTGCAGGGGAATGGCCGCGACTTTCCTGGTGCAGTTCTTGGCAGATGGCTCAGCCTCACTTGCTGCCTCTTCTGCTGCAGCACAGTCAGGCAGCTGCCACCACGGCCCACTTAGAAGCCTGTCCTGTGTGTGCTCCTTTCAGGGACTATAACATAGTCTCCAGTCCCTCAGTCTGCTTGGAGACGGTCCTGGACTTGCGTGTGTCTGTGTGTATGGTGCGTGTGAGCTCAGTTGTGGTCAAGGACGAATGTTCAAGCGACTGGTTGCAGTTCTGGAGTGACAAAGGACTGTAGCAAATAACCTCAGGCTAAAGATGTCACTGAAGGGTACTTTGAATGCAAGACGTGTCCAACGAAAAAAACTCGTGCACTTTCAAAAAAGAAGAAATATGTATTCAAGCCCTTGGACCATATTTTGTGTTATCTGGGCTGACTGATAGCTCATCAGGTAAAGTTGTCTGCAGTTATAATTTTTTGATTCATAGAATCAGGAAAGTGGAAGGAAAGAACTGACCCCCTAAAGTTGTCCAGGCTTCCGCACCCATGTCATAGCATGTGGTCCCCGACCCCCAAACACTCAAAGTTGTTTTGAAATATAGATTGACTGTGTAGTTCTTACAGGTTTATGTCTTACTCTGTGGACCAGGCTGGCCTTGAACTCACAAAGAACCACTGGCCTCCTAGCCTTCTGAGTACTGGGACTAAAGGTTTGTGTTACTATTCTTAGGTTGAAGCAACATTTGCAGCAGCTCCTTGTTCACAGCAGCCATGAGGTGGAAGGAACTCAAGTATCTAAGATCAAAGAAAGCGTGCTGTTGAACTAGTCCTGGTACAAAGCCTGTCTGTAATCTCAACACTTTGGGAATGTTTGAGGATAGCCTGGGGTTCAACTACAGAGCCTGGGCTATATAGTGAGACCCTGTCCTCCCAAACAAATCCCTTCCTCCACAAAAGCAGATGTGGTACGTAATCCAATGACATATTATTCAGCATCAAAATAGAAAGGAATCCTTTCTGGTAAACCTTAAAGGTATTATTTTCAGTGAAATAAAGTAATCACAAAAACAAGTGGCTTACGATTCTGTTTCTATGAAAAGAGACAGGAGAGCCTCGGTGTCAGGGGCAGGAAGAAAGGAGGAATGAGGGGTTTGGTGTTCAATGGGTCTAGTTTCAGTTTCTTTTTTTTCTTTTGATTTTTTGAGACAGGGTTTCTCTGTGTGGCCCTGGAACTTGCTCTTTAGACCAGGCTGGCCTCGAACTCAGAGATCCACCTGCTTCTGCCTCCCCGAGTGCTGGGATTAAAGGTATGTGCCACCAGTTTCAGCTTTCTTAAAAATTGTTTTGGTGCGGGGCGGTGGTGGCGCACGTCTTTAATCCACACGCTCGGGAGGCAGAGGTAGGTGAATCTCTGTGAGTTCAAGGTCAGCCTGGTCTACAAGAGCTAGTTCCAGGACAACCTCTAAAGCTACAGAGAAACCCTGTCTCGAAAAACCAAAAAAAAAAAAAAAGAAAAAAGAAAAAAAAATTGTTTTGGAGCTGGAGACCAACCTCAGGGTCCCCTTCATATTTTACCATTTAACTATCACCTGGAACAATCTTGTAGGACGTCAAGATGGAAAATGCTCGAAAGGCTTGTCGCATGGCAAATGTAAAAACTGTACTCGAGATGCTGAACTTCGTGTTTGCAGTTCTATAGTAAATTTAGCTGGGTCCGCTAGTCCAGGTCTGTAATCTAAACTATTTAAGAGGCTGAGTGACATAGGGGGACCTTGATTACCAGACCAACCTGAGTAACTTGGCAAGATTTCATTTTACAAATATTTGAAACCAAGTATGATGATTAGCGCTGGTAGATTTAAGCACACAGGAACTGAAGCGGGAAAATGGTTAGTCTGAGATCAACCTAGGCCAGGATGACAAAATTATATATAGTTTAAGAACAGGATAGAGAAGCTGGGCGTGGTGTCTCCCACCCATAATTCTGGCCTTAGGAGACTAAAGCGGGATTTCTGCAAACTCAAGACCACAGAAACCTCCCCCCAAACAACAACAAAAATAGAAAGACAAAGGCCTCGTTGGGCTAAACCGAGCGCGGCTGAGTCTTTACCAACAAAAACAAGGAAGACTGTTTTTGCCCGACCCTCGGCGGGGGCGGATCAGGCCCCACGCGTGCTTCCCCGGCGCTCCGCCCACGCTGCCTCCCCCCACCCCGCTTCCGGTCCCCAGCGTCCACGCTTCAGCCCCGCCTCCTGCACGAGGTCTCGCCCCGCTCCTCTCACTGTCCCCGCCCAACTCCCGGTTTCCGCCAATTGCCGCCTTGGCCCCGCCTCCCGCCCCTCGACCCGTGCCGTTCTCCATCCGGGTTTATTTCTCTCGTGCTGTCTTGCAAGCATGGAGCTGCACGGTGAGCGCGTATCTGCTCCCGCAGCTTCGTCGTCTTCTGGGGATCGTTCGCAGATCACGGTGTCCAGGGAGCTGTTGACCGCGGAGAGCTCGGGTTCGCGAGGTGAGCGGCGGCGGAGGGACCTCTGGGCTGGCGGGGCCCGGGACGCTCCGGAGGGCGGGGTACTGTGGAGCCCGGGGCTACGGGGCCAGGGATGCCTAAGAGGCCGGGGCACTCCGGGCCCGGGGATGCCTAGGAGCCCGGGACGCTGTGGGGCCGGGGCGCTCTTGGGGACCGGGAATGTTTCCGGAGGCGGGGATGCTGCGGAGCCTGGGACGCTCCGGAGGCCGTGGTATTGTGGAGCCCGCGACGCTCCGGGGCCAGGGGTGCCTAGGAGGCCGGGGATGCCTGGGAGACCGGGGTGCTCCGGGGGACCGGGAATGCTCCGTGGCGCGGGGAGGCGGGGATGTCTAGGAGGCCGGGGTACTGTGGAGCCCGGGGCTCCGCGGCCAGGGATGCCTAGGAGCCCGGGACGCTATGGGGCCGGAGTTGTTGCTGAGCCCTGGATACTGAGAAGCCTGAGGCGTTGAGGGGGGGCGGATGGGCATGCTGAGGAGCACGGGGCGCTCCCGGGTAGCCGGTAGGCGGGGATACTGTAGAGCCCTGGATGTTGGGGGGCGGGGATGCTGAGGAGTCAGAGCTGCTCCGGGGGCGGGGACACTTGGCCCGGGGGCGGGGGGGGGGTGTTCCGAGGAGACCGGAACACTGTTAGGGGTCGCTGGGGGTTGTCGGTGATACAGGCCGGGTAGTTCTTAGGGAATGCTACAGGGAGGACCTGGGATAGCTTGGCCAGGATGGTAGGTACCATTTTTAATATTTGTCTTAGGCGCGCCCTCCTCATTGTCACCTTGGTGGAGGGAGACGCGTGTGCGTGAAATCCTCTCAGCATTTCAGATAGTGTGGTACAGAAGAGAAAAGCATGGGTTCAGCCAGGCGTGGGGGCTCACACCTAAATCCAGCATTTGGGATCCAGAAGCGGGCGGAGGGATACGGAATGGAAATTGTAGGTTCAAATCCCTACTCCGCAGTGGGACTTTTTATAAAAGTAGCCTTCTTTAGGCCTCCGTTTTCACATTTTGTTTCAAACAGGTGGGGCTACCCATAGAACTTTAACGAACACATAAAAACATAAAAGTTCTTGTGTCTGCGTATTAAGTATCGTGGGAACCTTTTGAGAACGAAGTGTATCTGAGGGAGTTGCACTCCTGATTGCCAAAGCTTGTGTAGAGAGTGGTAGTGTCAGAAATTAACCAGCTCAAGCCTCCCCGCATCCCCGACGCCTGCGGAAGTATCCCCAAAGCTTGTGTAGAGAGTGGTAGTGTCAGAAATTAATCAGCTCAAGCCTCCCCGCATCCCCGACGCCTGCGGAAGTATCCTGAGGACCCCGCTTTATGTAGGAAAAAACCGGCATGGTGGTAGTCACTGGCTGGGAACAGCAAAGCTATTGACCCCAAGCTCTGGCTTTGCTCCGAACGTAACACTAATCAAAGCACTAAGCTTTAAGGAGCATTCCAAGTCTCCCGGGTCATCTCTCCATTGAGAGTGACGGGATTTTTGATTTAGAAAGTAAAGAGATTTTTCTGTGCGTGAAAAGGCTTGAGCGGTCTGTGTATGGGATGGACAATTGGTTTGTACATAAAGAATCACAATGTTGTAGAGTGTTTGTCCCTTCTACCCCCGGGTTTGGAATGGTCCAGGTTGAAGACAGTCCCAGGAGCTGTTACTGATGGTCCCCTCTCATTCTTCATCCGTGGCTGAGTGGCACTCCTGGCTTGGCTGCATTCATGGTGTCAATTGTATGTATTTTCAGGTATCTGGGACCAGTTGCTCATCAGCTCTAAGCCCCAGCCCAGGAAGACCTCTACTGTTCAAACAGTTCGGATGCAGAGGAGCCCTTGTAAGTACAGCCTTTCCACTCTAGGGGGCGCTCCCCCAGTTTAGGCCAATTAACTCACATTTGATGGGATTGGACGTCGTGGCTCATATCAGACCACAGAGTCAGACACCGCAAGTCTTGTATTGTGTAAATCCTTGTCTAAGGAGTAAAATTTCTCATTGTAATCTGCCTGAAGATTTTTTCAAAATACATTTCTTTTTCCTTTTTGAAACTGAAAGTACTGTTGATGGCTGTGATGCAGTGGGAAGGCTGAGGCAGGAGAATGGTAGCATGTTGGAGACCAGCTTGAACAGTACTCAAGACTCACTTGTTTGGAAAAGCACTTACCGTTCACATGATCTGGCATATTAAATACGGTTCTGGGGAACACTATTGTTAACGGCTTTGCTTTGATGCAGCTTGTGTAGCCTGTGTTACAGAAGTGTCCTCAGAACTGAAGCATTCCCTCCTAAAATAAAATATTTTCTTAAATGACATAAGGCTCTTAAGATAAGTAAACCGGGCGGTGGTGGAGCACACCTTTAATCCCAGCCTGGTCTGGAACTCAGTCTGTAGACCAGACTCGTCTTGAATTTGAGATCTTTGTGCCTCTGCCTCCTGAGTGCAGGGATTACAGGTGTGCAGCACCACCGCCTGGCAGAATTCTCCGACTCAGGGTCTATGTTGCTCAGGTTGGCCCTGAACTCCCTGTAAGCCTTACTGTGAGGATCAGGCGCTCTTAGATCCATTAGGTCATTCTGCCTGTTTTCTCAGTCCCTTCGTTGGAATGCCAACCTTCTAGAATTTTATAATTTCAGGGTGAAAGAGAAACAGAACATTTGAATAATAATTGCTGAGTCGTGCGGGCTTACTGCTTTGGGAGTCCCAAAGAGGGGCTGGGACTGTGACTGGTGGGTAGAGCCCTTGGCCTGGCAAAAGCAAGGCCCTGGTTCAGTCCCCAGCCATCTGAACTGACCCCTCTGACCCTCCCACCCAAGGCAGCTCAGAAGCTGGGCCTGAATTGTTGATGGGTTCATTGCTGCTCTCCTCCGAAGTGTTCACCAGGAGTTGTGGAGTCTGGACAGGACTAACATGGCTGCATTCTGTGTTTGCTCTCTAGTGTTAGACCAAGTGCAGGCATTCCTCCCACAGCTGGCCCAGGCCAATGAAAAGCTTCGGAAGGAAATGGCGGTTGCTCCAGCGGATCGCTTCGATATTGAAAACACCGAGGGGACATCCGGGAACATCGTACAGATGGTAACTGCCCTGTTGACTCACGTGATGGGATTAGTGTACTTGCCACGAAATGGGGGAAGATAATGGGAAATTTTACTCTAAAGTAAAATGTGGTTTTTAAATTGTCGAACATTTCTCATAGGCTGTGCTGTCTTTGTTGCCCTGTTTCACGTGCTGTTCAGTGCCGGGCACAGCTGTTGACATTAACAAGAAAGCGGGACATTGTATGTTATGGCCACTAAAGCCTTTTTAAGGCAAGAGGCTATGCATTTGACTCGAAGTTCAAGGGGAGTGTTTTTTTCATGGTAGGAAGTTGTGCCTGGGGCTCTCTGGTGGCAGAAGCTTGCAGTAGGCTACAATTTTGTATTTCATTCAGTATTTAAATTTTTCCCCTTTTCAGCCACTTTCTGGGGGCATTGGAACCATTTTTAGTTCAGGAGCTGGACAGAACCAGGGAGCAGGTGGGATCCAGCCTGCTGGGTATAATTTGCTGGTCCTTGCTCAGAAATGTAAATCTCATTAATTAATGCAGGAGCTGTAGGGTGTTCTTGAGGGAGTGGAGTTGGGTGTCCAGGCCTTACCTGAGGCCTAGGTTGGCCTCAAACTGTTCTGTCAGTCTCCCCATTGCTGGGGTTAGAGGTTGGGATTGTAGCTGTGTTACCATGGCCAATGTTCCTATCTCTTGTTAAGTCTGAGGTGTTTGATGGGATGCCTGGTGGTTCTCAATCTGTGGGCCTCCACCTGCTTAAGGTCATCAGAAAACACAGACACTTATATTGTGACCCCTCCCCATTATAGGTGATTGTGAGCCACCATGTGATTGCTGGGACTTGAATTCAGAACCTATAAGCAGCCAGTTACATTAACCTCTGAGTCATTTTTCCAGCCCCTACATTATGATTCTAACAATAGCATAACTAAAGTTATGGAGTAGAAATGAAATAGTTTTATGGCTGGGGGTCACTACAGCACGAGGAACTGTATTAAAGGTCACAGCATTAGGAAGGCTGAGGTCCACTGCTCTAGTCCGTTTTTATTGAGAATGGTGTTGGGTGTGTACTAGGCAGGAGGGACTTCTTTTTCCATGTGCCTTGGTGTCTCCCCGGCATGTCTGTATGAGGGTGTGATATCCCCTGGAGTTAAAGACAGTTGTGAGCCAGATGGTTGCTGGGAATTGAACCCAGGTCCTCTGAAAAAGCAGCTCGTGCATTCAAGCGCTGAGCCATCTCTCCCGCCAGGAGGAGCCTTTTTAACAACATAAGTAAAATAAACCCTTCAAACCAACCCTGACTTTGCTCTGATGTCTTCTGGCCACCGAAAGCGTTTACCAGCTGTTGGTGTTAAGCTCACAGCCCAATCCGTGCTCAAGAATCTATAATAAATATTAGTAATTTCTTCTGCTTTTATTTAAGAATTACTATTTTTTGTGTGCATGTCAGTGTGTGTGTCTGTTACCAATGTGCGTGGCTGTGAGGGTCAGAAGAACTAGAAGAAAGGGTTAGATTTTCTGAAGCTTGGTAATGGGTGCTGGGACCTGGACTGGGTCCTCTGGAAGATCAGTAAGCACCCTGATCCACTGAGCCAACCCTGCTACTTTAATAGAGAATGTTACAGAACTGCCCTGAAGTAGAGTTCTCAACCTGACACTTTCTGCAGGATGTGGCCTTATTCGAGATGAATCGGTCAGATTCAAAGGAAGAGGACAGCTCCGAAGAGAGCTCCCCTGACAGCTCTGCGGACAGCTCAGAGTCCGAAGATGAAGACTGCACCCCCTCCGAAGTCACTGTGGACAACATAAAGCTTCCGAGTGCAGAAGGTGGCAGAGGCAAGATTGAAGTGCTAGACAGTCCGGCAAGTAAAAAGAAGAAGCAGTGAGGTAGAGGGACCGAGAGAGGCAGGAGCCACACCTGCGACCTGTGGGGAGGGCGGCCCCCGGGGTCCTGGGCTTCAAGGTCCCTATGGCGCCTTAACTGTCAAAAAGGAAAATTCACAAATTTGGGGGTGTTGTACATAGAAAGTGTTCAGACTGCAGGGAGGGTCGTTCCCTTGGAAACTGAGAAGGGAAATATGGAAGAAATCACTGGGTTGGCTACATGCAGATATTTGCCCACGTTGGTATGGTCTGAACTGTGAGGTCTGGGACTCATTGACGCTCGTTCGTGCTAAAATCAGGGTATTGGTTACAAAATTCCCACTTCCAAATTAGAGTTTGGTTTGTTCGTGTACCAAGGCAGGTTCCAGTTTGTTATATAGGAACCGGGTACTGGAGACCAGCCCAGGATAATGGCCCCCTGCCATTGAAGGTGTTTTTATTTTATTTTATTCACAAAAACCAAAGCTGCCTTTTAAAGTTCTGTAATGGACAGCATGTGGTTGACATCCCGTGAGGGTAGACTGACCTTTGCTCTTGCCGTGAAGAGGTTTAGTGTTTACAAATACCTGCTATATCACTGTGTATATGTTGGTGTATGAATTCATGTAAACATTGTCTTCAAACTGTAATGGTGCCGCAGCCTAAAGAATGACTCCAGTTCTCCTGTGACTTGGGTAGCTGTTCTGACTCAGTGGTACTGATTTATGAGGACTAGTGCCCGAGGTGAGAAGAGGAGATACCTACCCCCCCCTCCCTCCCCCCTGCCCCAGGCGACTTGAGTGTAGGACCAGGTCCTAGCTACCTGGAGGGCATAGCTACAGCTCTCACCTACCTAGGTGGCTTGACATTCTGTGCTGATGCCTCCTCTGACCCTGGGTCTCTAGTTGGTCCTCTGGCAGCTGCTGCTCCTCCACAGTAAGGACAGGTTAGGGCATCAGCCCTGAACCCAGTCCTCCCCCCCCCCCCCCCCCCCAGCTCTTGGCGCTTTCATGCATCTTCTTCCTTTCTCGTCCCTGAGCCTTAGAGATACTATTTCCCCTGAGAACTGAGCCATTGGGCTGCCGTACCAAACCAGGAGCAGACAATTGTGGAGCCTTCCTCCGAAAGCGATCCAGGCTGTCAGAAGGGCACACACTCCTGAGCCAGTGGTCAAAAGCATCCTGTATGACCAAGTATTGTGTCTTAATTGGGTTCTCTGTTATCCAGTGACTGCACACATCCTGACCACAGCTGTGTGGTGTTTTTCCATTTACCAGAATTTTAGACTGAAGAAACATCTGATGGGTGTAGTTCTGAGTTTGGTAATAAGCTTAGCCAGGGCTTTGCTTATATTGCCAGCATAGGGCCCTTGCTTAGGGACTGGGTATTCCTGTGACAGATAATGGCGTCACACCTTGGTGAGTGCCAAGCTGCAGAGCCACAGCACAGGCGTAAAAGAGTAAAGCGTTCTTTTTTACCATGTGCAGAACAGATTGTATAGTTTTCAAACTGGACATGCTCCCCAACAAACGCTGGACTCGGTATTTGGGAAGCTTGTGCATAATTACAGAGGGAAGGCGTGTTGGAGGCCGATCCATTTCCCTCTGCGTACTTGGTTACAGTTGTATCTCAGAGGAAAGGTGGCAGGAACATCCTTAGGGATTGCCTATGTTGTAAAGACAGGTGGGGAAGGTTCTCTAGAACTCGGCGGTGGTCAGCGGCTGGCCTGGGATAGCTAGGTTATAGGAGGTGACTGACAGCTCAGAGAGGGCCTAGGAGTGGCTCTAGGTGTGTCCCCTCGCATGGGAATAGAAAGCCCCACACATGACTGCTGTTTGTTTACCTGGTGCCCTTTCTCAACTTAAAGGAGGCAGCCACTGCACCCACTGGAAGTAGTGTCCCACTTCTGGGCACAGTGGATCAGGATCATATAATGCCCATTTCGGTCCAGTTTCATGATGCCCAGAAAGAAGCGTGTTCCGTGGCACACCTACTTGACTAGAGAGTCCATCATGTGTGCAGTTGTCCATTTGTCCTCACCATGGTTTATAGTGGCTGCCGCCGGTGCAAGAAGAGGCAGCTACAGTCTGACTCCAGTGCACAAATACTCAGAGGATAATTGTCTTAGTTTACTTTCCTATTTCTATGAAGAGGCGCCATGACCAAGGCAACTTGTAAAACCGAGACTTCAGTTGGTTTCTTCCTGACAGTTTCAGAGGGTGAGTCTGTGATCCTCGTGGGGGGGGTGGAGGGGTGGCAGGCAGAGCTCTGTAGCAGCACATCTCTTACCCAAGCCGGAGGCAGAGAATGAGACTGGGCCTGGCTGAGCTTTTGAAACTTGAAAAGCGCACCCCTAGTGACACACCTTTTCCAAGAAGCCCCACCTCCTAATCTTTCTTTTTTTTTTTTTGGAGACAGGGTTTCTCTCTGGCCTTGGAGCCTGTCCTGGAACTAGCTCTTGTAGACCAGGCTGGTCTCAAACTCACTAATATCCGCCTGTCTCTGCCTCCCGAGTCCTGGGATTAAAGGCGTGCGCCACCACCGCCCGCAAAGATCCACCAACTAGGACCGTTCTCTCTTGAACTGCCACAGTAATTGGGTATATGTTTTGTTTAGCAAAGCGGTGGCTGTCTCTGGATGTACGTTTCTGTTCGTGACCTAATGAGCGTTCTAACGGGGAGGGGCCTGGACATATAACTGGAAGATTGTTGACTGTACTTGTGCTGATGGCACCACAGCTGAACCTGCTGTTGTTACCTGTGTAATAAGCAGGTAATGGGGTTTTTGGGGTCCATAGCCAAATGAGGCTGTATGGCCTGAACAGTGCCCCCTGATGTTGACAGCTAACCACTGGGGATGCGGTGTATCCTGGTTCAGTCCTGGGTTGGTGTTCTAGTCTCCTGAAGGCATATCCTGTGTTGTCATTAGCAATGGGTAGATAACCACTTAGCTACACACCAGGTCTAGTGTGGGAACCTCTGGGATCCATCTCTCTGGCAAGCAACAGCTAGGAAGGTAGACCACCCCTGCCATTGGAGTTTTTATTCAACAGCCTTGTGGTTGCTGGAAGCACCATTTATGTGCACGTGGTGTGTTTATTTAAATGTCGGCTGCCATTTACGCATTCGTGCCATTTCTGCAGTCTGATTCTGTGACACCTTAGAGACTCGGCAAAAGGCCCTCCAACATCCCCTGTTGGATATGCTGATTTTACTCTCAGTGCACCCTGCTGGACCCACCTGCTTCAGGCTTTCCCTCTTTGGCCAGGGGTTGCTCCAGTATTGTGGATATTGGGCTTAATACCCCTGTCTGCCAGTGAAATGAAGCCCACTGAAAACTGTTGAGGAGGGGTAGGCCCTAGGGACCTGTTCTCGAAGGTAAATATCAGGGCACTAGGCACACAGTCATTTAAACTGTCTGACAAGAGTCTAAGTTCATGCAAAGCTTCAGAGGGAAAGGGGTTATGTTGGGAGTGGATGGGGCGTTGGGGTGCTGATGAGCAGGATGGATTGTTTACATGTATGAAATTATCAAAAAATGAATAAATTACACTTCTTAAAAATTGTTCAAAGCATTTGCTGGCACATTCTTGTAGTCCTAACCCTCAGGCAGGAGACTGAGAATTGGAGGTCAGCCTGGGTTGCACACCAAGTCCCTGTCTGAAAACGGAAACAAACCCTGGGCCCCTTGTGTCCTAACGACGCCTCCCCATCAGGTTGTGCAGGGATGGGCAGCTGGAAACTGGTGAAGTGGGGGAAGGTAGACCCGTTCCAGAGTGATCCATTGCTACAGGGGCTGTGGGACTTCTCAGTGACAGTCAGGTCAGTTATGTCTGTCAACAAACCCACAGGCTTTCAAGTATTAAGTTAACATCGTTCTTGCTATATTTGAATAAATCTGTCCTCTACCTTCCCCACCCTCAGTACCCTGATCTTGTGTGGCCCTATCCTTCAAACTCCTTTCCGCTCCCTTGTCCTTTTGTCCCATCTGTCTGTCCTCACCACTGGTTATTACTGACTTTTAAGACCGCACCGGTTTGCTTATGTCGTATTTGAAGGGGCGTAAACGACCGGCAAATAGAATTAATCAGACTAGTTTTAATTTAAAATATTCCGCTTTAATAAGGGGAAAAAAGGGGGGGAGCTTACAAAGCCAGGGTTCCAGCGAAGAGCAGCAAACAGAGAAGGTGGGGAGCAGACCTGCCAGATTTATAGGTAAATATTGGCATAAGGGGTACTCGACCTCCAAACAAGGTGATTGGCTGGGGCTTCCCCTTCACACATTATAGGTTGGGATCTCTACATGAGGGAAAATGGGAAGATTTTCTTCTTTTATGCCCATTTTTTTGCAAATTTTATTTTCTTTTTATTCAAAACTAAAGTGTGTTCTGATGTGTGTATATTATCACATTTTTGTTATCTGTTCACTGTTGATAGACAACTAGATTGGTTACATGTCCTTGCTACTTTGGAAGCAGAAACACCGATGTACAAATGTCTGTTTCCTGTATATGGAGCCCTTTAGGTCTAGACCCAGGAGTGGTAGAGCTGGGTCGTGGTAGATCTGGTTTTAATTTTTTGAAATACCTCCATGATTTCCATAATGGATGTGGCTAGGATAATGATCCCCCCCCCCCCCCCCCCCCCCGTAGACACATGCACGGGTTTCTATGTAGCTCTGACTATCCTGGAACTCAGATCCACCAGCCTCTGCCTCCTAGGTGGTGGGATTAAAGGTGTGCATCACCACTGCCCACCTGAACGTTTTACAAAAAAATACTCGGGGGACGTGTGTTTCCGCTTTAGAGAACTCATTGTATTAGCCCATTCGTTTGTCAGAATTGCTTTTAATTTGTCTTAGTTGTAAGTTCTAGATATTAGCCTTCTGAGTATACTTGGTTGTAGTGAGCCGGACAGGATCGCCATTACAAGATGGCGCCAACATCCTGTCTTGTTGGTTATAAACAACTCCATATTTGGCTATGGCTTTGAGAGCTGCG